GAACTGCATAAGGCGTAACATTTCCGATTATTAAAATGATCATCAGGTGGTCGGATATTTATGGTAGGGGAGTGTATTAGTATATTAATATATTTTAAATTTTTTGTTCGTTGTGATCAACGTTACACGTTCCATATAAATCTTGATCTCCCCTGAAATTTATAATTTTGGTAAAAATCTAAATTTTATTTTGTCACATTTTATATCCAATAAAATCAAACTTCCACATCTGTGGATACACAGAGTATTCTTTAATGGTAACACAAATTAAAGTTTTGATCATTCTAACGATAAGCAAAGTAAAAACAGTCAATCAACCAACTTTTAAAGAGGATTTACAAAAACCACAAGGACAACAACTGGATTTTTATTTATAGATTAATTGACTGAATCTCAAAGATCATTTTCGTATTAGAAAGCAATGCCCTCAGAAAAAATTTATTGGCTATCAATAGCTGATTAACCGTTTAAGGGATAAAAAAAAGTTTATTGCAATTTTTAATTGACAATTAAAAAAACAAAAAAATAACTAAATCAAAAATGGAAACCTTGAACCAAAAAAGAAATAAGGTTAGATCCACACCGTGATTGGCTAATTAAGGAAAATCCTTCCAAATTTGGTAAATTTCGCTGCCCTTTTGTAATTGTTCTTTTTTTTTCCCTTCAACTCAATCTTAAAAATCTCATAAGCAGAAGCTCTTTCAAACTTCTAATTCTTCAGCTTGACATCAGGAAATTTTTCTGATGTAATATTACACTAGAACCCGAAAATCTATAGATGCAGCTGGGTCAATTCTTATACACGAAAGAACAAAAACCAAAAAGAAGGAATTAAAAAAATCGTTTTTAAAACGAAAAGTTATTAACTATATATATATATCATTTAAGCTCTCTGTTCAATTAAGGTGGATGTCAAATGAGTGTTTCAGTTGGTTGCACAAAAAGGAATTTTTTATTTACGTAGATCTCTCTTAGTTTGGTAAGTTTATAAATAAATCGATCATTAAATTTATTGGTACACAAAAGCATACAATGCCCGAAAGTTCTAGTCTAACCATAAAGCTTATTGGTCAAAATGTAAAGAAAGATTTTTTTTTTTTTTGTTTATTAAAGATCGCCATATAAATTTCCTAATTGCGTCTCAATGAATTTCGTTTGTGAAGCAAATTTTTTTAAGTTCGTTGTAACGACGCGAATTTAATTATAATTCGTCAAAGCGAGGTTCATTGTATGAATGACACCTGGTCCCCGAACTTGCACAATGTCCACCGTCTGTTATGATTATTATCAAAATTTGGCTGATGAAAACGCCGACAACTGAACAACAAGAGCAGGAAACAAATGAACAGAAGCAGGATATTCGATTAAGATCATGTTGTCAGCAAGTTACTGTTGTGCAACTAGCTGCTGCCGTTACTATAATTGGAATTTTTAAATAGTTCCGGTTTTGTTACATTATGTGCTTTAGTTTTCTACTTACTATGGCACTAAAAATCTACGTAACAAAATTTTGTCAACAATCGGACCGTCTCTTCCGCCTCTTTCACCAACTATGACAATTGGCTTTGCTATAAGGAACAGCGAATGATGAACTTTCAAAATACCCTAGCGGACGGTAATTCATAAAATCCTTATCATCAAAGGCGAATTTATGATTCATCATGACAACTTTGGAAGTGTATGAATTATTGTAATTGACGTGAATAGACTCGAGGGAATTCTTCATTGTGACACATTCAGAGTTAATATAATATTAAGAACTTGTACAGATTGCTAAAAAAAAACAAGGATAAAAAACATTAACGCCGAGAGTTTATTGTAAGTTACACTTGAAATTTACTTTTTAGACGAATAAAAACACCAAATAAAAGTATAATAGTTGAGTATATATTATTCAAAAAATTCATTGATACGCCTATATATAGTTATATATTTATATATTTATACATTCTACATAATAATTGGGAAAAAAAATTTTTTGGGTATTTTTTCTCCTAGATATTTTTTTTTTTTATTTTCTATTATTTTTATTTTTATTTTTAATTTTACTTGAATTAAATTAAAAAGAAAATAATTAATTAAAAAAAAAATGTCAAGTGATGATGAAATTGTTCGCGAAGACAATGATAAACATTATCACGATAAAGTTTATCACTTGGCTCTTAGGTATTATTTATTATTATTATCGCAATTTCTTTTAATTTGATTGTATGTATGCTTAAAGCAAATTTCTTTTCCTATCATTTTTCAATCAAAATTATTAGCCCTAATGGTCATTATATAGCAACCTTTAAATCTGGTAAATATTTTTGTCCCATGTAAAATAAAGGTTTTCATATCAACACCACTATTACTAATTACTACTATTACTATTATTATTGTTACTTATTTATAGATACGTTGGAATTTAAGGTCATTGAAACAAAAGATGCCCAAAAATTAGATACTAAACCGTATAATAAAATAGATCAAAAAATTTTTAAAAAGTGGACAGCGCAACAAAGTATCATCACACCACAACTCGATTCAACACAAAGTCCAAATTTTAATGAAAATGGAAATAATGGAGATACTAATTTTATATGCAGCGAACCAGACGAAATTGAAGATAAATTACATGATTATGATAATGATTATGATAATGTTACCGATAGGCCGCATACGGAGCTTTTGGAATGGTCAATCTCGATATCAAATAACTTTCGTCAAGATAATAAACCAAAACTTTACTTGGCAATTTCTTGTATAATGTTTGGTGACATGATTAAGCATAAGGATAAAAAAGACGGGAGTGATGCTAATGAAGGATATAAAGAACAGGCATTTTATGAGATAGAAGCTAAGGAGGCTGCTGATGGTGATGATGGTGATAATGAATCAAATGATGAGTCTTTCTCCGATAAAAAGAATGGATTAATGAAAACAGCCGTTAAAACATTCAAAAATTTGCAACCATTGAAAAAATTAAAAGACATTATGACTTCCAATGTTGGTAGTGGTGAGGACCCTGAGATTGCTGCTAATAATACTCCTAGTGGGAAAAGTGAGAAAAACGAAAAGAATAAAGATGGTGATGATAATAAAGGTTCTTTATATTACACAGCCGATAGAAAACATAAATGCAAAACAATCATACTTACAATAACATTAGAAGATGAAGGTCATAATGATCCAGATAATTATACCATAAATGTCTCAAGTAACCAAACCAAAAACTTTTTCTCCCTAAATGATCAAGCTGGCATTTTAACTTTCCTACCAACTGGTTACGATATAGATCAAAGATTTGCTGATTCTCTTTCCGTCAAATCACCACATAATTCAACTTTAAGTGATAACAAAACTCCAGTTAGTAATATTAACGATAGTAATCTTAATCATAATAACAACGATAGGAGAAATTTCATGAAAATTAAAAGTGATGATGATAATATTGTAAGAATTAATAATAAACTTAGTGGGTTAACGTATTCCGAATTAGCAAAGTTATTATCTTCATCAATCATGACACCGGAAATATCATCACTATTAAACGCTCATAAGAAAACAACTCTGGTCCTATTTAATTCATCAGGTATTTATAGGATAATATTAAACACCAAGGAAAACAAAATGGATGAAATTCAAACTTATCGATATCCACACAATTTTGAAGAGGATCTGGTCAGATATTATGCTAATAAACCATGTATAGGTAGACTGAGTAGATGTATTTATGAGAACTATCTTTTATTTGATCAGTATAAAGACAGAGTTCAAACTATGGAAGTATACAATTTGATGGACATGGAACTAGAACAAAGCTTGCAACTAAGAGATGATGATGACAGTGATGATGATGATATTGATGATGATGATATTGATGATGAAAATAATAATAAGAAAAAAAGTCTTTTGATTAAAAGTTATGGCATGTCCACTTATGCAATTTCTACCAATAGACAATTATTAGCATACTCGAGGGGAATTGGTAAAATTACAATTTATTTGATGGAGAATGGACTGGAAATTGGCTCAAAGGATTTTGGTGAAGATCAGCAAATTATACTAACGGAATTGTTTAATGATGATGAACAAGTATTGGTACTAACTCAAGCTAAAAATGATTCAAGACCAGTAATAAACATTTGGAATTTATTTTACGATAGTGCTGGTAATATTAATAATATTAATAACAATTTCCAGAATAATAATAATGTAATGAAAAGTGTAAGAGATTTTCGTGGATTGTTCCCATCAAAGAATATTGAGAGATCTCATTTAGCAAGAAATTCAAAAGATGTATTAAGAATATATGGTGATGGAAGCGTAGTCAACATTACGAATCATGAAGATTTTATAAAAGCTTGTTCAATTGATCAATTGGACCTGAGGAAAACTTTGGAGAAAAATAAAGTCTACACAATCACCAAAAAATTTTTGCAGGAATCAAATTGGCAAACTCCGAATGTAAATCATAAATTGTATATACCTAATGATTCTTTTAAATCATATAATAATTATATCAGCGGTGTTCAGCTGTTGGTTGATAATCAGGAGCCTTGGATAATTAATAACCAATGGCAGAGGATTTCTGCTTTTCTAAATAAAGAACTAACACTCCAATTATTAATTGGTTCAACAACTGTACAAATATGGAGGAAAAATGATGATGATATAATAATATTAGAATATATTTGGACAATAAATGATGATGATGATGATGATGATGATGATGATGATGATATTGATAATGTCGACAATGCCAATGATGATAATTTTTTTAAAAAACTTTTTAATCGTGCTAGTAACGACAAGAACAATGATGATTTTAATAAAAATTATAAAATCCGTCATTCTATACTTGTACAAGAATTGTATATAGGAGAAGGAACTTTTCTATTGGATATAGCATGGGGACCAAAAGCTTCACAAAAAGCAACAATCCAATGGCCATATAAAGATCACCATGTCACACCTATTATACATGCATGCAAAGCATTAGAACATCTTAACGGTAAGCGAGATCAGTTGGTTGGATATGAAAAACAACATAAGTTTGAAAACATGTTGGAATTCATAACTAAAATTATTTGGAGATTTGTTGACAATAAACCAGAAATGTGGAAATTGATAGATGTTAGATATGATTTGATGTCAAAACTCGTTAGAGGTGGTTCCAACTCTTTGATTAAGTTCATATTATTTGGCAAAGAAGAAATTTTCAGCAAAAACAACTACAATAATAATAATATTAATAGTTTATATGGTATAGAGAGAAGGTGTTCACACGATTCTAAAAGAAAGCTGCATGTACCTATGACTGAAAAATGGAAAGTTATGTCTGAAATTTTTAAAACTTACGATACAAATAATGTTGGTAGTAATTATAATAGTGTTGTTCGTAATGATAAAAAACCTATCCAAAAAAAATTAAAAAAGAAAAAAAAAGAAAAAACTGTACTGGAACTAGCAATTGAATATTCAAATGGTAAGTAAATCACTACTGACATATAAAAATTTTTTTAACACATTAAAAAAAATGTTAATAATAGCAATTTTATTGTTATTGTAAAGGTGGGGAACGTAAAAAATCAATAATGGTTGGGTATTTTTTAGATTATTATGGTAATAATGCACTTGAACATCTTGGTTGGATGGTGACAGCCTCGAAAGCCTTGCCACACCTTTATAAACATAATTTGGAGCATTATGTCGAAGATCTATTTTATAAAGAGTGTTTTGCTGAAAAGGATCTTGACGGTAATTATGCAATTGATGATCTAATAACAAAAGAGGAGATGTTAAAATTCCGACGAGCTGAATTCAAAGCATTTAAAGGCAACACAAAACTCAAACAAACAGATATGGTAACCAAATTCAGTTTGAAGCAATTTATTGGTGATTGTTTGATCAAATGTCTCGGGATGATAACGTCGCTTACCAATAGTACTAGTAGCAGTACAATGCCGCCTCCTATAGTGTTGAGAGTTGTTCCATTTCCCAACTTTACACTTAATAGTTTGCCAACACAAAAATTACAAGAAGTAATTGACGATGTTAAGGATTTTAATATGCCAAATTTTCTAGTATTGTTGAAAAATATATTTAAACATATTTTTGTACCAAGAGGTTATCAAGTAGGCAGGAAAAAATTGGATGTGTTGAGTCCATTTGCGCAAGTTATAAAATTGGATGAAGATATTTTTATATTTGATAATCCTGCAATGGAGGCAATAATAGATTTTAGGTGGAACCCTGCCCGACTCCATTTCTTGCATTCATTCATTCTATTTTCTTTATATGCATTAAGCTATGGTATTTTGTGTTACGCATTCATCACTAAATTGAATGTAGGACCAGGATTAGGAATTCTTTTGATAACATTGGTAGTTTATTTTTATTATGCGGCCTATTATTTATTTTTTATTGAGGTGAAACAAATGAAACATTATGGATGGAGAAATTATCTCTTTGACATTTACAATATATTTGATTTGGTCACGTTGTTTAGTCCAGTGGTTGTGATGAGTCTTTGTTTGAAGACAACTTTTGATTTTCAAACTGGATTTATTGGTGATTCAAATGATCCAACTTTGGTGACTTGGATGTCTTTCACCATTCTTTTCATGTGGTGTGAATTTGTAAGTGTAGAAGAACTATTTATTTATGAGTAGATGGACGGATGAATGAATTATTTTTAAAGCAACCAATTAATTAATTATTCTCTTTCATTTGCTTTTAGATTTTATATCTTAGATTATTTGATGCTCCGTGTGTATACATTTATATAGTTATAAATATTTTAAAAACTGTATGGCCCTTCTTGTTATTCATGGTTGTAATAATTGTGGCATTTGCACATACCATGTAAGTGAAAATAATTTTCTCTTCACCTTCATATCATCATGATTCTAACATACATATATATGAATTATATTATAGGTTCATATTACTTCAAGATCCAAATTCAATTGGTTACGTACCAAATGTAAATTCATATACAGCACTCAATCTCACAACAAATGAACAATTAGATTTAGGATTTCAAACAGATTTTGATCCAAATTCAACGTCCGATAATCCATTCTCTAATTTTTTTACAGCAATTGAAGCAACTTATTTTTGGATAAATGGTGTTTGGACGCAGAGAGATTCTTGGAATACCTGGGCTATAAAAGTTTTATCTATGATTGCTAGTATTATGTTGGTTAGTGTTATGCAAAATATGTTTATTGCTTTCATGAGGTATGTCATATGTAAAATTGTTGTTATTATTAGTAGTAATGTTATTATTATACTAGTAGAGTAATGTCAATCGTCTTTTAATTGATTAATTAATTAATTAATTATTAATTAATAGTGGAGTATTTGAAGAAGCAGCATCAAAAGGTCGATACGCATGTCTTCGATTCAAAGCAGATATGATTGCAGATTATGAAGCACTGGAACATAAGAAATTTTATTTTTGGCCAGCACCAAATGAACCAAAGTATATATATTATGTTGGTCATAGTGATAATTTTGATGAGTGGAAGGAGAGATCTAAAGGTCGCCGAGGTTGTATATTTAAACGATATGAGAGTAGGAATGACTTTTTACAGTATAAATTTGATGATGACGATTTAAGTACCGATGAAAATAGTTTATGGTATTTTAAAAAGAAAAGGTCTAGTAGCGGCAGCAACCGCAACAGCGGCATCATCAGCAATCGCAACAGTGGCATCATCAGCAACAATAATATTATCATTGGTAGTAGTAATTTTGATGGTAGTTTTAAATCAAAGAGCCGTATGAAGTCACCTCTAAGATTTCAAAATAATAATAATAAATCCATTATAAAAAGTGGTGCTGATTTTAATAATACTAGTATTGATAACAAAGATGAAAATAAAATTAATAAACAACTACAAGAAAACAATGAATTAATTAAAAATTTAAATACTAAAATCACATCATTTGATTCAGAAGTCGCTGCATTAAAAGATTTAGTCAAGACTTTAATATCAGAATTAAAGGATGCAAAAAGCAATGATGGTGATAGGAAAGATGGAGGTGAAGGTGGGGATGATGATAAGACCAAGAAAGAATAGATTATATGAACATTAAACAAATATTAATAGACAATGCGTGTGGATAGTTATAGATTATTAAGTGTGAATAAATTATTTTATTATATATAACACATATATATATATATAGATAAATGTCTTTGTAAAATGTATTTTTAATTTTAATAATTTCTATGATTGATATTTTCAAAAAAAATAAAAATAAAAATTTCAAATTTTAATCCATTCTCATTAGTCTAACACTACTAAATTTATAAATATTGTTCCCCCCAATGATTCATCTTCATCTTCCTCGTCGGTATTAAATACCACATTGATCTATAGAATTTTGGGAAGGAGAAATGTTTAGTTTTGATTCGTTTGATTTGAATGATCCTTATTCGAATACTAACATGCACATGACCATCATTGTCGTAACAGCCAGCACAGCTAGACATTGACTATATGCTCGTTTACACGAGTGATAACGGATTACGTACATGTCTGTGAACCGTCTAAATAGAAGCAGCAGTAGATATAAAGATAAAAAAAAAAAAAAAAAAAAAGAGTTGGCAAATGCTAAGCAAGTTTAGGAACCGACACTTCTTCATGCCAAGGTTATTTTGCAATCATTTAATCATCTTTAATCATCCTCGGGCATTTAATCCCTCGATCATTTAATCATCCCCTCAATCGCTTAAGCCAACTCATGAATGTAATCCGGTACTCAATCATTTAATATCATTCAAGCAAAACATTACTTGGAATAAATAAATTAAAGCTCATAAAGAAGTATTAACTAAATAATTTCGATTAACTTTAAAAAACGCGTTCAAGAGAATCACGAACGTCCATATTCTCTTGCGGGGGCGCTTAAAGCTAGGACTTCAAACAATCCGAAAGGATTGCCCAAAGGAGAAATAGAAAAATAAAACCAATGCTAACAAGAAAAATGGAGATAAAGAAAAAAGGAAAAATAAAAAAGAAAACTAGTAACAAGAAAAATAAAAGTAATAATAAATGCCAAGAAAGAAAGTCAGAATTTAAATTTGCCTTTTAGCAGTAGCAATATCCTAATTCAAGTCCGGATCCAGAACAATGATTTTCTGCGGTGATGAAACACTAATTCCGTCCGTGCTAAGAATGCCGTGCATTATTATTATTAAAAAAATTATATTCTTATTCTGCGTAATTTCCGTTATAATATCTATGCATTCTGCGGTTTTATGATTCTTTCCAAAAAAAAAAAAAAGAGAATCAATAGTTAAACGATTTGGCGGTGTGCAATCAGAAGGAATAGTTATGCGACATTAAGTTATTATTATTTAATTTTTATTTTTTCTTATTAAAAAATATTACATTACAAAATAGAAATCCTAAAAATAAAACATTTCATAAAATTCTTCAGATAAATAATTTATCATTTAAAATTGAATTATATTTAGAAAAACTTCGTTATACACTACAAGAAGAAATTGGTACCATATATATTCAAATAACTATTTGAGATAAAAAGGGTAAATATTTGACCAATCAATATTCATCTAATGCAACCTCTATATTAAACATGGATCCACGATAAATTGCCCATTCTTTTTTCAGAAAGAGAGGTATCAAGTGTTTGTTGAAGTTGATGTGTTTATTTTTATTACATAAATAAATTCTAAACCTTCTTTATAATAGGCCTTTGATGTAACAGAACAAATTTTATATGATAATAGGTTATGAGAAACCATCTGGATAGGGACATTTGCTAACGGATAATTTTAGGCACGGTTTAATTATTTCTCAAGTCGAACCTTCTTTTATTCAAGAAAATTATTGTTAAAGTACATGGTATTCAAGTTTTTTATATACATAATGTTTCATTAGAGGACTATTCCCTCATGAAGTCTATATGCTCAATCAACGGTGGTCACAAAATTACAAAATAAAATCCCATTGTTAATGTGAAATTCACCAGGATTTCTTCTATTAGTATTGATTGTATGCTTTTGTACCTCTCTAAAAAATTATTATGTTATTAAATTCACATTGTTATGTTATCTGCGTACATTATAGTATTTTCGTGATTTCTGCGGCATTCTGCGCTATGCAGAAAATCGTTGTCCCTGACCGGATCCAAATTCTAATTTTTACTATTAAAGAGTTAATTATATTATGTTAATTACAAATTTTCTCTTAGGTCCATAAATTAAATGTGCACCTCTATCAGTCCAACCTTTCGATTTAATTTCGCCATTACAAGTTTCATTAATACAGTGAGTTTTTTGCACGTAATGGTGATGGATTTTTCTAGCCTCCAGGAAAAAATTGATAATAAATAATCAATCATCTTTAAATAAGGCAGGAACCAAGTTCTGTTGTGTGATAATAAAAAATGTTCCTCATGTTTGATCAGGGCTGGCAACGTAAAGGGTTAAAATCTTAATTTAGTAATAATTGTCTTGTGACTAAATAATTTAGTCGGTTTAGCCAAGTGCTCATTTGAGTTACGCGGTCAGCCCGGCTTTGATATAAATTCTTCACAAATCATGTGTAATAGTAATACTTTAAATGAAGAGGATTGCCTATCTAAGACAGAAATAGACAAAACACTCGGGATACCGTTGAGGACTGTACTGAAATTGATGACCCAATAAATTTCAACAAGGATTAAACCTTATAACCGTCCACTTTCTCTATAACGAACTTCACTTTTGTCCCGATTCATTTTTTTATAATTTCTTTCTCTATAACGAACATCATAGTAAACACTCTTTATAACGAACAAAAACAGAAAATTACAAATAGGTATGGAAAGAGAGATTAATACAGTATGTAAATATGATTGATGCAATAATTATATAACAAAAAATTACAAAAATTTATATATCTATAACATGAGGAACATTATTAATTAACACGAATAAAATTTGCGTGTTATGGCTTCTGCAAATGCTCCCAAAGTTTCAGTTGTTAGTAAACTGAATTATTTGGAACAGAGTCAAAAGATGAAACGTTGTAATGAGCAAATTTTGCCATACTGGCTGCAATTCATCATAATATTTCTTCTTATTTGATTAGCAAGAATTTTGGTGGGCAAGTAAGATTGAGAAAAATGTTTATACGTATCACCAAGTTACTATAGGTTCTATCTATTTGTCATATTTCAGGACATTCCTTCCATACAACCAAGAAATCAAAATGTTGGAAATCGTATTTCGATTTAGTTGTACAACGAATCTTTTTACGCGATCGGAATGACCAAAACTGGCAGACTTGTCTTGGGATCCTTTATCTTTGATTGTAAAGCTTCATAATGGATAAAGCAAACATCATAATAAGTTTAGAAATCATGAATGATGAATGATTGCATGGAATTGTATTTTAGTATTAGACAACTGATATGGAATGCCCGAAGAAACATTCAAAAAGAAAATTGGTTCGATAATAATTTTAGTAAAGTCAATATTGTCATATTCTCATTCTCCCATCCCCCATCCCCCATCCCTCATCTCCCCCAACCTCAACCTCAACCATTACCATCAAAATAAAAAGGTTTAAAAGAAATCAGCAAATCGAGCCTTTTTTTTATATTTAAAATAATAAAATATTTACTATTTTGTTTCTCCTGATCTCTGATTTATGCGCCATACAATTAATTCCCTTGGCATTTTGACAACTGAATCGGCGAGGGTAGATAGGGTTTAGGGTGTGGAAATTAGTCAGTGCAACAACAACAAAAAATTGACAAACCTTCTTCAGATCACTGTGTAACAAGAATTTAAAAAGAAACATTATTATTAATATGAAATTTACCACTGTTGGAAATTTTTTTTTTTAATAAAGAGTATTTTTATAATTTACTTCTATTAGATCATTTGCTTGAAATATAAAAGGAAAGACACATGCTTTTTAACCTAATAGTGGAAAGTTTGACTATACACGAACTTTTAAAAATAAATTAAAATTTTCCAAATTTAGCAATTAAATACGTTTCGTAATTTACATTACATATTTTGTTTACTTACTATTTATTTTATTAAAAAAAATGGACAAAATAGAAATAAAAGTACAAAAGAATTTGTTTTCTTTTTCTCTCTCGTTCATAAATTTTAATAATAATAATAAATAATAATAATTATAATACTCTCATTTTTCCATTTATTCGCTTCTCTCCCCCTTCGCAAAAAAACAATAATCTTCTCTCTCTCCTCAATTAACCCTTTCATTTTTTAAAAAAATAAAACTCGTTTACACATTATATATACATATATATATATATATAACTTTTTTTTCTATTAATACAAACACAAATTAATAATATAATGGCCAAATTTGGCGACTTTACTGGGATTTGTCAGGAAATTGCACTCACTTTATGCCCTCTTGTTGGTGCTCCAGAAGGTATAGAGCCAACATGTTACTCAAGAAATATTGAAATAGCAGGAACATTGCTTTTTCAACCAGGTAAATATTATCTTTTCATTTAATTCATATTATCATATTATCATAAATGAAATGATACGAATATATATTTTTCTTTTTTAGCTACGATTATTATACATTTAATTGCTCTTATAATGACAACCATTATGATTTATCATATAAAATCAAAATATACTGCTGTTGGTTAGTAATTTCTTACTCGGTTGATTTTATTGTTATATTGATGTGATTATTATTACAAAAAATTTACAAGTAAATTCATCATTTTAGGTCGTAAGGAAATGGTATTGTTCTTTTATTTATATATGATGGTTACATTTTTAGAATTATTACTTGTATCTGGTATTATTGCTACTGCATCCACGGTTTATCCTGTAAGTCATAATAATTAAAATGTGATACTTTGTGAATTTATTTGTTATTATTAATCTAATCTGTCAATTATCTTGACCTTTTCAAAAAAAAAATATACATTTTTTTTTTTTTTTAGTATTTTACTGCCGCACATATTGGTCTTATCACAGCAACATTTTGGTGTTTATTAGCTAATGGCTTTGTGGGATTCCAATTTGCTGAAGATGGTACTCCATTATCACTTTGGGTAAATTGATTGCTTCCTTTTTCTTACGACAAACTTGATTCTTTTTTAATTCTCTAGTAATCTCACAAAAAAAAATTTTATTTTTTTCAAAATAAAAAAAAAGTCAATTCGCCTTTCATCACTATTTGTTTTTGGAGCTGTCACTGCCTTATCTGTTGCAACATTTTTATCAAAAGCCGGGTTTAATCCATTACAACCAATAGCTTTATGGATAGTATTTTATGTATTTAATGGCATAGCACTCGTGATCTATGTTGTGCTTCAAATTGTACTAGTTGTCAGGACTCTTGATGATCGTTGGCCACTCGGTGATATTTTATTTGGAATATCTTTCTATACAATTGGTCAAGTTACCTATTACTTATTCTCAGTTCGTATTTGCGACACTGCTAAACATTATATTGATGGATTATTTTTTGGAACAATTTGTACATTGTTGGCCGTAATGATGGTTTACAAATATTGGGACTCGATCACCAAAGAAGATCTTGAATTTTCTGTTGGCAGTAAACCACATGTTTGGGAAGTTAAAGAATTGCTTGGCGAAGAAGAAATTGCCTTTTCAAAAGCTCCTGCTTATTCACAACAACAACAACAACAATATTATTAAGAAAATTAAAAAAATTAAAAAAAGTAGACAAAAATTCAGATAATCAATCAATTTATTGAAATACTTTTTTTGATTTAGTTGTTTATAACAAAAATAATAAAAATAATAATAATAAAATTTCTCAAACAAATAATTGATCTGTAAAATCTAATACTAACTAATCTTATTGTCCCCACCCAAGTTTCTCCAAATCTAGCATGGCGGCGACCCAACAACTTTTTTTTTTCAAAATATGTTACTATTACATAATCTCCCGAAAGCGGAAAATTTTATCCCGCAGAAAGTTAAAAAATAACTTTTTTAATCTGGTCGTTTTCGTGGTGGAAAATGTGTTACTTTCTTGGTAGTGGTGACTCGTCCATTCAAATCCAATGGTATCCCATCAGGACGTGTTAATCAAGCTTGTGTAGTGGCTACATGCATTACAATTGTTTAGAAAATAAATAAATCAATCTTTGTTGAAAAGATATTAAAATATTTGTTTTGTTTACTGGGTTGTGAAATTTTGATGATTCATATTTTAAAGGAGAAAAAGAACCTAAAAAGAAGAACCAAAGATATCATTATTGATGTTAAATGATTATATTTTATTTTATTGATTTTCAGAAGTTAAGCTTGCTGATCAAAAAGTGATTGACAAGGAAGGTTCCTGATTATTTAGTTGCAAGGTTTACCGCTTATAAAAGGTCAACATTCTCATAAAATGATTTTCTAAAATTTAATTTCACTGTTGATGAAGATGACGATGATGATGATGATAACGATTTTAGTGAAAGATTTTGTTTATTTATTTTGATTAAATTAAAAATTTGTATTTTATTGAATTTATCAACCATCTGATTGATTGATTGATATACACAATTATTTAAAGCAGAATTCATAATCTGTGCATGACATATTTCAAATTGGCCAAACCTTTTAAAAAGGATTATTTGTATAGATAACGGAATAATTTTACTCTTATATAATTTTAAAAGGATAATAGATGATTAATGGATATCATTATGATAAATCATAACTTATGATTCTATTAAAATATCTAAAAATAGGATTATTAATAAATAATATGTTCTATATTATATTATAAATATTAACCAAAAATAAATAATAAATAATTCAGTGATAATAATTAATAGAATATTTCAAAGTAATCTTTGTGTATCTAAAACATTGAATGAATGAATGAATGAATTAATGAATGAATTAATGAATGAATGAATGAATGGATTAATTAAGAATTTCATGCACAGAAATACAAATTTTCATCAAAGTGTTTTTTTGGTTTCTTTCTCCTCAACATCTTAGCGCTCTGCACCCATATCGTCGTCTTCAAAAATTTTAAATATGCCATCGTTATCATGAAAATCATTATGTACTATATTAATCAGATACCAATTGTCTGCTATTTCTGTAATCAATTGAGAAGAAATAGAATCCTTGTCGTATATTTTTGCCCATTCATTCCAGAGCTCAAAAGCTTCATCCTATAATTATAATTTAAAAAGTTTAGTAATTATTATTACATCAAGATGTGCATGATAAATATTTTTAATAATAGTTACCTTCCAAGCCATAAAGCTTATGGCCTCTACAACCGTTGGTTGAATAATTTCTTTTCCGGAGAACACTCCCCACGTGACTGCATTAGGCCCATCACTTTGTGTGTTAGTTTTCAAATCACCCTTATAAAAAAGAATTCAATTCAATGATTACAATATTTGAAAAAATTTTATAATAACAATAAATATATAAATACGCACCTGTTTGTTAACTGCATAATATGTGATATTTGGATCTTTTTCAATTCTAAGGATAAGAGAATCAAGATTTGCAGGAGAAACAAAAATTTCCAAATAAGCCTTTTTAATATAATTAAATAGAAATGATTATTATCATTACCACAAATTAATAACGATCATCATTTATATCTAATTTTTTAATGATCGAACAATATATATATTATATATAATTACCTTTTGATATACATAACCATTCTTTGGACCCCAGCCAAATACTTTGTCATCACTTCTGGCACCATTAACAGCAGGTTGAGAATTAATGGATAAATATCCCAAAGAATTAATTTTGGCTAAACGATCCTTTATTATATCAGTTTCTTGTGCAAGTGATTGATCAGACCATGGCAGTGAACCGATTTCACCATTACAATATTGAACAAATAATTCATAAATATCGTTCAATGTTTGTGGATGTCCCCATAATTCAAATGCCTCTTTTGTCTAATTTATGAAATTTAATTTATGAATTTAATTTTTTTTTTAAAAAAAAAATTTTATATTAAAAAATTAATTGCAAACTTATTTACATACAGAATGTTTGAGCGATATACCATAACCATCAACTTCACCGAAAGCTTTTTTTTTTTTATTTAAAATTATATTCAATTTAGTTTTTGAAATTAATAAATGAAATTTTAATTTTATTATTATTATTTTTTTCAAAAAAAAAAGGAAAAGTATAAATACCCGGTGATCTTGAATCACCCCATCTACCATTAGGATATTCATCCCATGCTTCAGTACGTGCAATATAACTTCTTGAGCGATTTCTCCAAAAGATTGGACGAACATTCTCATTCTTACGCTTAACCGAAAGAGACTAATAATACAAAATGATTTTATAAAAGATATAATGAAAAATAAATAAATATAATAATGATAAACTTATAAATTAGATAAATCATTTACCGGACACCATGGTAATGGTTTAACTTTTTCTATAGGAGCAATAAATTCAAGAGCTTCCAAAATCAAACGGGTAGATCTTTCCAAATTCATTGTGTAGAAATGATATCCTTTGATATCAGCAGCATACATCTTCTTGATCATTCGGACAACCAATTTGATTCCATATTTTTTTACAGCGTCATCATCATCTTTGATAGGTTCCAAATCATCAAGTATATACTGAGGAACAATAGTTTTACAAAGAGTTATGATTCTATTAAATCCTGAATAAGTCTGAATTGGCAAAAGACCAGGAATTATAGGACAATTGATACCGATGGCACGACATTCTTTAACCCATTCTAAAAAGACATCTACGTCATAAAACACTTGTGTGATGATAAAATCTGCACCAGCGTCCACTTTCTCTTTGAGTCGACGTAAATCATCATCTTTATCAGGATTATCGACATGACCCTCGCAATACCCAGCCACACCAATACCAAAATAATCACCATATTGTTCACGGATATAACTAACTAAATCAATTGCATATGAAAAGCCACCTTTTACTGCTTCCCAACGTTCTTGGCCATGCGGTGGGTCACCACGTAAAGCAAGAATATTTTGACATCCGCATTCTTTAGCTTGCTAATTAATATAATTAATATAATTAATATTAAAATATTGACACATGAATAATAATTCTTTACAAAATAAACAGATTGATTGAATATACCTTAAGTGCTATATCTATCTTTTCTTTAGGCATATTTGTACAAGTAAGATGCATCATTGTTTCCAAACCATAAACTGATTGTGCAGTTGCTACAATTTCAGAAGTGAGTTTTGAAGAAGTACCCCCAGCATTCCACGTAACATCAACAAATTCGGGGCCTAAATAATACATTCTTTCCATACGATCATAAAGATTTTGTACCCCCTATCAAATTTAAAAATGAAATGGTAGTAATTATTAGAATGATGGTTATTTTTCTTTCTCTTTGATCGATTTTTCAAATTTTTTAATAAAATTAAGAATTATTTAAATATTTTTTTACTATATAAACTTGATAAGTAAGTTTTGATAGCAAAAAAAAATTTTTACTGTTGAGATATATATATAAGTGTATGCTAATTTTTACCTGTTGAGTTTTTGGAGGAAAATACTCAAATGACCAGAATGGTCTATCTTCCTCCATTGCCTTTTGCATTTTATTGATAATTTTCATTTTTTATTTGTAGTTATTTTTTGTAAAAAATAATTGTATATAATAATCTAGTAATCTAAATAATCTAAAATAAATGAATAGATCAAGATCGATTTTTCATTAAAAAAAAGATGCGTCGTATAATTTAAATAATGTTACACCAAGAATACGGTGGATCTTTGATTCAAGAATTTTTAATATTAAGAATATTAATATGTATTAGTATGTTATCCGAAATTGCTTCTCTTAATATTAATATTAATAATGATGAAACTGAAATGAAATTAATATTTGATTTTATTAGAAGCCAAAATAAAATTGTTTGAACTTTTTGACCAATAATAGCATATTAATTAATATATTAATATAATAGGCCGAAATTTCAAAAGGTTATATATATTAATATGGGGATATGCTTGCAAGTGAACATCGCACTATACCAAAAGATTTCAGGGATCAAAATTAATAGAAGTGTTGGAGGCGGATAAAAAGAATTATCCAAATTCAACGAAGGGGAAGGTAACGAACAAATTGAACAAATTGCGTAAAAAAATACACAAAAATTATTTTCCAATTATTCCATTCGTTTATTTATTTTTTTGTTTGAGTGACATATATATTATTGTTTTGAAATGTTACTACTAACCTATGTTTTTTCTTTGTTTTTTTTATGCTCTATCAATGACCCATTGAAATATACACACCCTAGACAAAAGTTTTCAGACACCTGGTTTTTACTGATTGCGCAAAACTACACATAATAACTATACATAAAATTTTATCAAAATGTAGTTTAGGTTTTGATAAATATATATGTAAATTTTGGTATTCTTAAAACGTCTAATTAAAAAAATCCGAAACTCGATGAAAATGATGATGATCAACAAAATATTTATTTGTATTAATAAAGTTTAATATTAATATCGAGTTGGCCATCCACCACTAGAAATGCATGCCTCAATCCTTCTATATATGCTTTCTATTAATTTGTAGTAAGAAGAAAATTAAAAGTAGTTTCAAAAACTTTTTCACGTTTTTTGGAAGAAGAAGATAGTTGTTGAGACATTTTAATTTCGTAGAATTTAGAGATTTATTAATTTAAAGAAATCAAAGAAAATGTTGATTATATAGAATTATTAGAAGATATTTATTTATTATCAATTTAGAAATATGGAAAATCTGATTAATATTATTATTTAGTGATGTGTGTTTAATTATTCGTGTAAAATCATTATGGAAAATTTCGATTAATATTATTATTTAGCAATGTGAGAATTATTCATGTAAATCATATTAGCAATGCATTAATCTTAACATAGTAACGTGGTTTTTTTTTTCACGTGAATCTGTTGTAACGCGATTAGTACTTATTATTATCACTAAAATCCTACCAAAAAAACCGTTGTCCGTTGAAACGCGATTTAATACACAGGACATTCCCCGCCGATCAATAGGAGGTCGTAAAACATATATAGTAAAATTTGGATGATCTGCATCATAGTAAAATTCGAATTTACATAGTAAAAATTTATAATCGAATGTCTTCACACCCTCGTTTGATACCCTTGCTGTGTAGCAACCACCACCAAATTTGAGATACAACTTCTTCTTTATCATATGTATCTGCTTTAAGAAAAATTTTAAAGCAGGTTGTTAATAAAACCGAAAATAAACTGACCCTCAAAGTCAAATTTTGCCTTTATGTTCATAAATGTAAAAATTTGTTTGACGCGTCCAATTGCAAACAAAAGTAGAAATAAATGTCCAAATATTACATTATTATGAATATTTACAGACTCCTGATCACCTAGGTATGTCTTTTATAGTAAAATCATTTATTTTAAAAATAAATATATTAAAAAGATGATATGATATAGATACGGTTTATGGTTTATTATAATAATAAGTAGATATTAAAAATTCCTTTTATGTTTTATTCCTATGATGATAATTAAATAGTATAAGCAATCAACTATAACGATACCAGGAAAAGGAGAAGAGAGATGACAATAGATGCAAAGATGTTGGTTTTTTGTATATTATTGAATTCACATGGTATTGTTATCATCACCAATTTCATCATTTGACATTTCAATTGATATTTCATTAAATAATAATAATAAATTATTATTAATAGAATTAAATTATCATTGATAAAATTAACTTTTTCTATAGGAGTTTACATTAGACAATACCTTTTTTATAAAATTCCAAACAATTATTACATAAATTTTTGAGAATAGATTATGATGATCTTGAATATTTTATATGTAACCATAAGTTATTTCTACACAAGAACACAGCCTATCTTTCTACGTTACTGTGGAATTTTAAATCATTCAAGAATTCCAGAAATTGAGATACTTTTAATAGGAGCTTTCATCCATAAATCAATAACGGTGTTGAATTTTCAGAATAGATTGTGACGATCCTTGAATATTTTATAGGTAACCATAAGTTATTTCTACACAAGAACACGGCCTATCTTTCTACGTTACAGTGGAATTTTAAATCATTCAAGAATTCCCGAAATTGAGATACTTTTAATAGGAGCTTTCATCCATAAATCAATAACGGCGTTGAATTTTCAGAATAGAAAATGAGGACGGCATTGAATTTCAGAATAGATTGTGACGAGCTTTGAATATTTTATATCTAACCATCAGTTATTTTTACACAACAATATGTACATTAATTAATTATATCAAATTGTTAAAAGGATTTCAAAAGATAATGGTAATAGGTTTCCTTAAAAAATTTGTTTATATGATCAAAAGATCAAATATATATATAATTTATTTACGATATGTATAATATGTATAATATGCAATAAATAATAATAAAAAGATTTTAATAAAATTAATTACATATGTATAAAAAGATATGTCAGAGCGTTTATTATTAATATAATAATCCATATCTGAAATTATGTCATTTTTATCTGTTAAGATAATTTTATGTTTTCCATAACCAGATAGGAAAGCTCTTGTTCTTGTACGCCAACTAAAGCTATCTTTGGTTGGTGCTACTAACACACCTACAACACCTGGAAGGTGGTCAGATAACACGCCTTGAAGATTGCGTACATAAGCCGGCCCTTATATTTAACTTAATATTAATTGATGATCGCGTAACTATAATCTGTAGATAAAAATAATTATTATAATAATTTACCTATCCACTCCATACAATTACATTGCACTAAAAAGGTGTTGTCCCTGTATCCACCCATCATCAAATCAACACCAACATCACCACGGCACAACCTACAAATTGTAAATAAAAAAAATTTAGTGAGCATTTGTGTCTTTATTGTCAAGAATAGAGTCAGACGTTGACAGCAGGCCGTCCACTGTATATTGGGTCTGGTTACCCAACTGGTAACTTTCACAAGCTGTGGACACGAAGTGCTTCCAGTTCTCCATTTTTAATCCTAGTGGCAGCGTAACTTCAGATACATAACAATTCAACAAATGCTCAGTGAGAAATTACTCACCTCATTCTATGAAACTGTCTACGCCCATTGGACAACACCCGGCCAATTTCATTTTCAAAAGCAAATCCTCTTGCAGCATTTGATGTAGATTGCATTTTTTAGTAAAATTATTTCAGTTTTAATTTTTAAAAAAGTTTAAAAAGAAAAAACGTCAGATCGTTTTTGTTTTCTTTGTTTTTTTGTTTCTTCATTTTTTTAAAAAATATACAGTCAAACCTTGTCATAACGGATTTCGATCTAGTACAAATTTAGAAGGTATCTGCAGCAGAAATATCCAATCAAATACAATATTTCTGCATATACTTTCTAAATTTGTACTAGATCGAAATCCGTTATGACAAGGTTTGACTGTATACTAATAAGGAATTTTGTGACATTAGATTTTTATTTTCACGAGGGTTGACCATCTTAATAAGGAATTTTGTGACATTAGATCTTTATTTTCACGAGGGTTGACCATCTTAATAAGGAATTTTGTGACATTAGATCTTTATTTTCACGAGGGTTGACCATCTTAATAAGGAATTTTGTGACATTAGATTTTTATTTTCACGAGGGTTGACCATATAATAGTAATTAATATTTTAATAAGAAAATGAATTGAATTTTTATTTTCACAAAAATTAACTATTAAGAAATTAATAAGTGAGAGAACAAATGAGAGTGATAGTGACATTTGATTTTTATTTTCACAAAGGCTAACCATTAATTCACAAGGAATTATTAATATTAATATTTTAAATAAGTGAGAGAACGAATGAGAGTGATAGTGACATTTGATTTTTTATTTTCACAAGGGCTAACCATTAATTCACAAGGAATTATTAGAATGAATGTGTGAGACATTGGATTTTTATTTTCAATCTAATTTTTTGTTGGAACATGTATCACTAACAACATCTTGTATTTGTGTGTATACTATTTTTAGATGTTAATCATTACAAGATTTAGAAATTCCATAAATGAGTGGCTGAAACAGCCGAAGTGGCTTTAGTGGCACTAAACAAGTCACGATTTTCTTGATTAATATTAACATTAATATTAATAATAATAAAATAAATGCGTAATTATTTTTTGTATTGCATAATAATAAATGCTATTTTAGAATGTCAATTATTACAATATTTGGAAATTCCATTGTTACTATACCTGCCATCTTACTAGCTTTTTCAACAGTCTAATCACCAATCTATATGAAAAAAAACATGAGATAGTTAAAAAGAAATGAAAACAACTTAATTTACCTGAAACTGAAATAAAATATTCACTTATAAAAAAAATCACCACATTTTTGACATCAGTAATTTTGAAATTTGCCTTTCCCCATACAAAAATCTGGTTT